TTGGGATTAGAACTGAGTTGTTTCTTGCTCCTAGAGTGTTCAGAGAGCTATAGTCCATCTGTTAGTTGAATGAAGTCATCAGATGTGGCCACAGCAGATGATTTGAATTTACACTCTTCTTTCTTTTATTTTTGTTCAACTTTATACAAACTGTATGTGTCTGTGTATTGTGCAGCACAATTACACAACTTTACTCTAGAGTCCTCCTGTTTTAATTCTATTTCCCCTCCCCACATTTTTGACAGTTTTCAAGGCCAGGTTTTCTAACAAGGGGCATGTGCAAATCAGGTACATATGTGAACTCAAAAATGGCCAACTAGGTGCATAACTGACCTTTCAGGATGAAATTTAATAGTGAAAAGTGCAAGGTCATGCATTTAGGGATTAATAACAAGAATTTCTGTTATAAACTGGGGACACATTACTTGGAAGTAACAGAGGAGAAGAAGGACCTCGGCGTATTGGTTGATCAGAGGATGACTATGAGCCGCCAATGTGATATGGCCATGAAAAAAGCTAATGCAGTCTTGGGATGCATCAGGCGAGGTATTTCTAGTAGAGATAAGGAGGTGTTAGTACCGTTATACAAGGCACTGGTGAGACCTCATCTGGAATATTGAGTGCAGTTCTGGTCTCCCATGTTTAAGAAGGATGAATTCAAACTGGAACAAGTACAGAGAAGGGCTGCTAGGATCATCCGAGGAATGGAAAACCTGTCTTATGAAAGGAGACTCAATGACCTTGGCTTGTTTAGCCTAACTAAAAGAAGGCTGAGAGGAGATATGATTGTTATCTATAAATATATCAGAGGGATAAATACCATGGAGGGAGAAGAATTATTTAAGCTCAGTACCAATGTGGACACAAGAACAAATGGATATAAACTGGCCATCAGGATGTTTAGACTTGAAATTAGATGAAGGTTTCTAACCATCAGAGGAGTGAAGGTCTGGAACAGCCTTCTAAGCGAAGCAGTGGGGGCAAAAGACATATCTGGCTTCAAGACAAAGCTTGATAAGTTTATGGAGGAGATGATATGATGGGATAACCTAATTTTGGCAATTAATTGATCTTCGACTACTAGTGGTAGATATGCCCAATGGCCTGTGATGGGATGTTAGATGGGGTGGGATCTGAGTTACTACAGAGAATTCTTTCTTGGGTGTCTGGCTGGTGAGTCTTGCCCACATGCTCAAGGTTTAGCTGATCACCATATTTGGGGTAGGGAAGGAATTTTCCCCCAGGGCAGATTGGCAGAGGCCCTGGGGGGTTTTTCACCTTCCTCTACAGCGTGGGGCATGGGTCACTTGCTGGAGGATTCTCTGCACCTTAAAGTCTTTAAACCATGATTTGAGGACTTCAGTAGCTCAGACATAAGTTAGGGGTTTGTTACAAGAGTTGGTGGGTGAGATTCCATGGCCTGCGTTGTGCAGGAGGTCAGACTAGACAATCATAATGGTCCCTTCTGACCTTAAAGTCTATGATTCTATGATTCTTTCCTGGGTGCAGTTACTTGATTTGTGGATCTAGTTGGTGTAACTGTAAATACACTTTTGCATGTTCAGTTGACCTTTTCTTTGAAAATTGCATCCTCATTATCCATTAGCATTGCAAAAAAAAAAAGAAAGAAAGAAAGAAAGAAGAAGAAGAAAAGCAGCAGCTGCAGCGTACACACAACATGTATACATTGTTTATAAAACAGGACAATGAATGTTGGATGAAAGTTCAGGTCAATAACTACTTTTTCTGAATAGATTTACCTATTGGGGGTACAGTGAATGAGAAGCTGGATATGAGTCAACGTGTGCCCTTATTGCCAAGAAGGCTAACAGCATTTTGGGATGTATAAGTAGGGGCATTGCCAGCAGATCGAGGAACGTGATCATTCCCCTCTATTCGGCATTGGTGAGGTCTCATCTGGAGTACTGTGCCCAGTTTTAAGCCCCACACTACAAGAAGGATGTGGAAAAATTGGAAAGAGTCCAGCGACGGCAACAAAAATGATTAGGGGTCTGGAACACATGACTTATGAGGAGAGGCTGAGGGAATTGGGATTATTTAGTCTGCAGAAGAGAAGAATGAGGGGGGATTTGATAGCTGCTTTCAACTGCCTGAAAGGGGGTTCCAAAGAGGATGGATCTAGACTGTTCTCAGTGGTAGCTGATGACAGAACAAGGAGTAATGGTCTCAAGTTGCAGTGGGGGAGGTTTAGGTTGGATATTAGGAAAAACTTTTTCATTAGGAGGGTGGTGAAACACTGGAATGCATTACCTAGGGGAGGTAGTAGAATCTCCTTCCTTAGAGGTTTTTAAGGTCAGGCTTGACAAAGCCCTGGCTGGGATGATTTAATTGGGGATTGGTCCTGCTTTGAGCAGGGGGGTGGACTAGATGACCTCCTGAGGTCCCTTCCAACCCTGATATTCTATGATTCTATGATTACTGGTCCTCAGTCAACCTAATGTGTGTCATGCAGTGCAGTTTGCAATCACTAAAAGAATAGGCCCTTTGAAAACATTTGAAGATGTGTCTAAACATTATGGTGGAGAGTTGTAATCTGTGCCACGTTATGAGTGGGGTAGTGCCATGTCCATTGCTGTGCCACAATAAGCATAGGGTCTGACTTTCAAAAGTGCAGCTCTGAATGAAGCCAATGATATCTTTGGCTGCTGAGACCCATACAGTGCTGCTGGTGATGACCTTACAGACGTGCAGGCCAGTGTACACAGTCTGATTACAGTGGAATTATTGCAATAATACACAGGTGGTGAAAAATCCTTTCAGTGCATTATTAAAATTTCTTTTCAGCCATGCCTAGAAGGCTCATAAAACAAACTTGATAGCTGAATCTTTTTGTGGTTTCCTTAGGAATCCTGGTACGAGAGAAGTGAAATATTTTCCTTCAGTAAATTGTCCCTTCTATAAAACATAAAGGATTAAAGTACGAGTAATTACTATTCTCTCTCAAACCGAGTAAAGGAGAAGAAGCACTTCAGAGCCTTAGCCATTGATTTTTGAGAAGCAAGGGTCACATGTTAAGTACTATTGATGAAAAGCATTGCTGCAGTGTCCATGGAGACTGAGCTGAGGTGAAAGTGAACCGTTACCATAATAGTGACAGCTTTGAGTAGAGCTGTAAGGGACTGGGACTTGTCTAACTATAAAGTAGTTTTATGCATTACACCTTGAATGTGAGATCAAACCCATTGCTCCTATGGGGCCAATCATTCAAGGGTCTGCCATCACTATTAACTTCAGAGGGAGATAAAGATGCACAGGATCATACAAAGGTGCACAGTACCATGCAGTTTTTAGGGCCCACAGAGTTCTCAGATTTATATGAGCTAAAATCCCTCATTTAAGCAAATGTTAACAGAATTACTGTTAACCTCCCAAAAGAATTCAGAAGCATTTATTTTATGTTCTCCATTACGTCTATGTTTATAGCATCTCTTTTCTCAGCAGTTGCATTTTCCCATAAACATATTACATGAATGCAATTTTATAGCCAAAGCTGCTAAATCCATTTTTTAAAAAACATTCATTCCTTGAACTGAAAAATGTAGCTTGTTCTACCAGATTGAAAACCCCACATATTGATTTTGAAATGCATAATTGGTTTGGACCAATAAATCACTATGCAGTAGATGTGCAAAATTGATTTTTATATTGCAGTAATTAATTTGATATTTGCCATAACTTATATTTGTGCATGGACTAAGCAATTCAATAATGATAATTAATTGTATATGGTCAAAAAAACATCCACTGCCCTGTAGATGACTCTTCCTTTTGTCCAAAAGCTGGCTGCATAGGTTCTGTTGAAGACTGGGTATGTTACTTTTATAGGGCCCTGATCCTGTGAGGTCTTGAACATCCTAATTGTCCAGTGATGTCAATGGGAGTTAAAGACACTCAGTACTCACGTGACCAGAATCTTACAAAGAGTGAATTCCCAGACAGTGGTCCTGGGGAAGAGATATTGATGAACAACAAAAGCTCCCTTATAAATGGTAGCTCAGATTTCACTTTTCAGATAAGAATCATGCCTTCGGGGATTTTATTGTATCTGTTGATAACATGGTGTAAAGTGAATTATCATAAAGAATCCTAAAAGCAACTACCTCAGTTCTCAGAAGGGACCAATGATTTGGGGACACCTCAGTATTGGGAATGTCCAGTTTGAGACACCTGTTTTTCAGACGGTGTGGTGGTCAGTATTTATGAAAATCAGGCTTCATTTAAGGTGCTCCAAAAATGAGACAATCAAAGTCATTTTTGGAAAAGGCAGGCCAATGTATTTACACAAATTTTGATCAATCTTAGTGCTATTGACTTCATTGAACAATTCTGCTAAAATGCTCTAATGTATTAGAATCATCAATAAGATTAAAACCAAGGGAACTGATTTTTTGATGGGGACTAGTATAAGTCAGAAATTATTCCACAGAAGTCAATGGAAGTAGAAAGCTCTTGATGTGAATCTGTCTCTAAATATTTGTACAGCTAGCGTGGGTGGTTTTTTAACTTCGAGGTTCACTAGAAAGTGGAGATGAGCCACAGTATATGTTCACATATAAAGATGACAGCTGTAATATCACAGAAGTGCATGAAGGAGCTGAGACATCCCTTTGGCCTGTTGAGATGAAATGTTCCTGAAACTGAGACAGTTTTCTAGCAAGGGACCGTGCTATTTATCTCCCAAGTTTCAACCATCCGTATAGTTAATTTTGCCAATTAATAGGTAGTTTGTGATATCATTGTTTTAATCTTTTCAAACTTATTTGGTGCCTGGTTTAAATTACATTTGTTTGTTCTAAAGTTAGTAGTAGTAATTAAAATTAATCAATGTTGTTATAAAAAACAGCCTTGACATCTATTTCTTCTTCCTCCCCACACCTATCCCCACCACACTTTCCTTTACTTGTGATTCCATTTATTGTGGCTCCATTTCTCGTCTTCTTTTGCAAAAAATTCAACATTAACATCTCCTGTTTTTACAGAGCATCAAAGTTAGTTGGCTACCTCCACCATCAGGCACACAAAATGGATTTATTACTGGCTATAAAATCCGACACAGAAAGACTACCCGCAGGGGTGAGATAGAAACACTGGAGCCAAACAACCTCTGGTACTTGTTCACAGGTCAGTGTTCATGGTGTAGCCTTGCAAGGTTTTGATGAATTAAATGCTTTGGGAATAAAATATATTTTCACTTCAAGGAAACATTGATTTCTTTTCTGGCAGGTGACATTTATTGGGCTGTACAGGAACAACCTTTATATATTTTTTTTACTTTTCTCCTTAATGCTTTTTTCTTACATTTTGTCCCCTGGATTTCATCACCCTAATGAAAGCAAATTCCCTCTGTTCATCTTAAACCTAGCTTGGTTTCTCGGACCACTGAGTCCACCACAAATCCTTTCTCTTAGTACAACGACATCTACCACACTTATTTTTTCGCCATCCCTCTTCTTGTACTTTATGGGGGGGAAATCTCTCTTCCAAGTGTGACAGGTCCCAACACTACACTATTTTAAAAATATAATTGCCATGCTAAGTGTAAGCAGCCAAATCAGTACTTTCAAGGTAACATTAAATTAAACAAAGAATAATTTCATTTCAGTCCTTTCTGGAGGAGGATGTTGTCACAGAGCAGATGTATCTGTATTTCTCCTCAATGGCCCAGCCAGGGCACCCAGTATCAAGCTTCCAGCTCCCCAGCCATTGCCTTTCTTTGGTGGAGACCTGCATCTCATGCCCCTCTGATTGGGGTAAATTTTCAGGGTGCACAGTTCCCTTCCTTCACTGTGTTATTCCCAGGATAGGCAGGCTACTCAAGCACACCTGCTTGCTTTCTCTTCGGAGATAGTTAACAGGTGTAATTGCTACCGTTATATGTCACCAAACTGTTTTTTTATTCTGTACAAAACTATTTTTTTCTTAAGATAAAAGCGCTACCGAAAAAACACATTAAAACAATAAAGAACCTACACACATGCTAATAAGCTTACCAGGGTTCAACCCAACCCTAACATTACATTCTGGCAGAAGCAGTCCTTCAAATCCCCACCAAAGGGGATTCCTTGTGCTTACAAGTTCCTCACAGCTTCAGCTCAGAATAAGCACACAGTCTTATGGACCTCAGTAGGCCCAGTGCTTCCAACCCTTCCCTAAAGATTGGGGCCCTCCATGGACGGGGATCCTGTCTATTTGCTGGATTAGAAAGACGGCACTGATCCTGTTTAAAACCAGGCTATTTATCCAAAAATCCTGAAGAACTAGTATATGCATAACTCTCCTGGGAGGTGCCTTCAAAGGGTTGATAATGGAGGAAGTACGTTAGCACCCCCCTCCCTGATCAAGGAGGTACATCAATTCCACAATACACTGTTTCATTTGCAATACCAATTGGCCCCCAAAAGTATTAATCCTAATGGTCCCTTCTAGTCTTAAAGTCTGAGTCTATGAGTAACATTTAACTTGTTTTCAGTAAAGATTATCTTAATTCCATAAAGTTTGTCCAGGATATCGTCAAACTCTCATAGGTATATTTTCATATTGCACCAGCAATATGTGTTTATTGTGAAGGAAGTTAAGTTCCATAGGTGAAACCCAGACTCTCCCCCTGAAATATCCCCATTCCATTTACTTTAAAATAAAATAGTATTGTTTGAGATTTGAAAATATTTCTGTCTCATGAAAATACATATGTCAGGGACGAAAATTATATTTATGTTGAAAAAACACCAACTTTGTTTAGAGTCACAGAACACCAAACACAGGAGATAATTTTTACATAATTAAGACCTAACGATGCAACAATGAGTAGTTCTTACTCATGTAAATAGCCTCAAAGATAATGGGACTACGTGAGTAAAGGTTGCAAGACTAGTGATTATTGGATTCGGAGCAAGGTAGTTTTCGGGAGATACAAATGTCAGGTTTGTTGGGAAAGAATGAAACACCTGATAGGTGATTTCAAAATAAAAAGTGGTGGATGCTGAGAGACTTGGAGTGTTAAAAGAGCTCCAGGTGGTGATGGATTAGAAGGAATAATGCAGGTGATATGGTCAAAGGTACATAATGAAGGGAGTTTTATCACATGACTCCATAATGTGTTCCTCTGATATCATCAGTTTATGATATATCCCTCTGTAAAATATACTTATGCACGCACACTGTACTGTAGACACTAATATAAATATAATAGAGCTACCTTGACCTCTGAAAATTCAACATTGCTTAGGAAGAAAGAGTGTCCTTAAAGTTTTGACTCTAATTGTAAAGTGAGACTCAAATGTAGGCATATGCCTAGCATAGAGGACTGGGTGCTGGTTGTCTTTTTCGGGGGGTTCAATGTGTGGAAGATTTTCTGCATTTCAAAATATTAAGTTGGGTATTTTGTTTTGGGAAAGTAGTGGAAATACATATTTAAATATGCAGGTTTAAAAACAAAACTTCCTTCAGATCGCATTATTATAGGCTCTAACATAATAAAATATTAAAAATAAAATAATAAAATAGTTGCTAGAGAAGCTGAATTGTACAGTTGTTTTAAATGGATGACTTAAATATTCAGTTGTAAATACTTTTTACAATCCTCTATTTGTTAGGCAGGTATTTTTGTAGGATAATGTAGAAACCTGTAATAGCAAAGTAACTTAGAGTTACAACAAAGATTTTAAAAGGCTGCTATCTGTTTTATTGTAACTTCCAATGACTGATAAATTTAAATTGCTGTTTTTAATTTTGATCATTCTTCTTCAGAGAATGTTTGCAATTGAACATAACAGTTTTTCTTGTACTTTACGGTCAGGATGGGCTAAATAAAATGATAAAACACTTATAGGAGGTTTGGTGGCCAGATTGCTTCACCATAGTCACATAGGGTCCAGAATTGAGTCTATGAGTTAAACTGATTTGGTACTAAGTAGCAACAGTAATAGAAATTTAGAGTGACCAGTGGTTCTGTTGTAAATGAATATGTCTGTAGGAACATACCCACTATTGCTATTCGTGTAAATGAATATATTAGTGCAGACCTGTTTATCTACACAACTCAATGTGGCAAGGAAGTTGGAATTTTACTGGAGACTATTCATTTTGCTCTAGTTCTGTTGCAAACTTTGGAACTTGATAAAACTATTTTTTCTATTTGGTTTATCTTATGTTTTTAACAGGACTTGATAAAGGAAGCCAGTACAGTTTCCAGGTAGCTGCCATGACAGTCAATGGGACAGGACCCTCCTCGGACTGGTATACAGCAGAAACTCCAGAGAATGATCTTGATGGTAATTACATTTCTTTTCAGACATTATCAGCACATTCCTTCTAGGTTTTTATCTGACGGGTGTCATTCTAATTGTTACCTAGAGCTTTAACCAGATGCTGTGCAGGTCTTGGGTTAGATTCCAGTGATTATAGCTGCAGGAGCTGTTGTCTGGGTGTTTTTGAGCAGAAGAACTCAGTGATTACCCATTATTAAGATTGCCTGCTTGCATTCTGAACAAGTGAAGTGGAAGGGACAAAACAAGACAACTTAATTTTATTCCCCCATTTACACTGGCACTCTAAAAACTCTCATTTTCAGTCTCACTTTTTTTTCCCCCAGTTTTGCTGCACTTGCGAAAATATACAATAACAATCTTGGATAATAACCAACCAAATAATGCGTACATAGATTTCACTACTAATATTTCTTAAGCTATATCTCTGGTCTGATCACCAATAAAGCATCAAAAGTCTTTGTTGTAATTATCAGGTATTAGAATTTCATGCCTTGTGTCATGACTATTGGAAAGAAAATTAGTAGGAAGTGAACCAATAACACCATGAACGATAAACATAATCAATCAGAGAAACACTTAAAATAATAGTGATGCCTCTAACTCAACAAAATGTGCCTACAAATGTCTTGAGGATTATTGTCTTTGAAGTATCTATTTTCAGATGGTTGGCAATGAAGCCACATAATAACTGAAAGATGATAGAAACAGGAACCTGAAAAATATGGAATGTAAAAATGAGCACAGATGTTGATATAAAAGAAAAAAAGTGACTGAAAGCAAAGGGACAGATACAGTGACTGAGACATTTGAAGAACTAAAAGAAGAAAGAGAAAGTAATGGAAACATCTTCCTACTTTCAAAAGTAAAGAAAGTGCAAGTAAAATGGAACAAAAAAGATGCAGATAGAAATTGAGGGGAAAAAATAAGGAAATTGTCAAGAAGCAAATATGTAAGGAAGGAGATCAATAGAAAATATGGGGAAACTGAACGAGGGAAAAAAACTAATCAAGGCTCAGAAGCAAAATAAAGCCAAAAACATCTAAAGAGGAACAAAGGTAAAATGGATGAAAGAATAAACAGTCAATAAGTAAACAGGCAACAAGAGATTGTCATCTTCCTTTTTTTTTTTTTTGGACTAAGAGTCTTTCCTCATGATTTCACAACCAGCCTGCCCTACTTTGAGCATTTTTCCTCACCAGCATGTCCAATTCCATTTTTATGGAGGAGCCAGGAATGACTCTATCTGGCTTACTTGGCACCTAAAATATTGTATTCAATGCAGCTGGGTTCCAATGAACATTTTAAAGAGGTGATGACACTTCTGGAAGTGATGTGACCATGCTGACTGGCCACAATATGCTATGGTATCTGGTGATGTATGCTATCATTCTACTAACTACTATTTTGGGTGGATAGCGCTTTCAGAAATGACACATTACTCAAGATGAGAGCAGCTGGCCATTCATTTGGAGGTAGATCTTAGTAAGTAAAAATAAATATATTCTAAACACGTCTCAATATTTAATATCATGTTGTTGTTTTTTAAAGCAAATACATCCTTTGGCTTTATTTATTTATATTGCAAAATGAAACACAATGCATTTCTTGGAACACATTTGTTTTTATTTGCATTTAATCCATATGAAAATATCATGATATTTGTTTTCATCCAACAATATATATGTATATGCATGCAAAGATGCTAGCAGCGTAATCATCGGGGACATGCAGTGAAAATGAAAACACCCTGATAATCAAATTAAACTGAAGACTTTTTTCATATATTGTGTCTACACATATTTGCATTTACAGTACCAGTGAAAAATCTGTAGTGAAGCTGCAGCAGTCTGACACTTTGCGTGTTCTGTGTTGCATAATATATACACCACTGAGATACTTAGATAAGCTCTGGGGAGAAATCGACTTATTACTGTAGTTATGCAAAGTCCTGCAACTGTCAGCTAAATAGTAGAAATGCAGTTGCACGGATTGTTAACCGCAATTCCCTTTCTGCTCTTATGGTTTGTGCAGTTTTTCTTGCCTTCACTGTATGTCTGCTTGGCATAAGCAACACAAAGATGAACAGTTTCTAAGAGAACTACACTAACCCCTATGGATATTCTTTTTAATTAGTGTGTTTTGTTAAAGTGATTAGAAAGCCAAACATCACTGCTTATTCAAGGTTCCCTGGAAAGCTTGTGTGCCCTTACTGACAGCTGGGAAGCTTTTAAATATTTATTTTTGAGCCTCAAATTTTGTGCTTTAAAAAATGGAAATTTAGCTTTCCCCATAGGGTCTGATTTAAATAGCAAGGATGCAAGAGACTCAAGTTTGCAAAGGTATCCTCCAGGAAAATGGGTTTAGGATTTTCAGTTTCTGCTTACTGCCTTGAACAGATGGAAGCTATTATAAATATTAGTGATATAGTTTAAGTTCAGCTCTGAATTAGTGTTTAAGAGCATGACAAGCTAAACCTATATTACAGTATAGTTTCTTCTGAAAATGAATTGTGGGAATACAGGAAGAAAATGAAAATAATATCAGATAGCCTTAATTTAATATGTAAAATATACAACTATGAACTCCAGAGAACCCTCTACAACAATTGCTAAAGTGACCCAAATATAAATAACTTCCTTAGTGTTGTCAGTTAGCCTGAGGAATTAAGGACCTTTAAACATACGACATTCCCTGAATGAAAGACATGTGGTTGGACCATTACATAAAAGAGTAATTGATTAAGGATGAAACAAAGAAGATAGTACATTATGCAGTGAAACTATGGGATAGGGTTTTATTTCTTGGAGAATGTAGCTTGACTACTTGGCACCATGTAGACAAGCCCTAAGATTCTCAAAATGTGCATAGTGCAGAAGGTAAAGAATGCAGAATCCAAGTAACATGGAGTGCCAGATTCAGCCTTCAGATACTTGTGTGCAATTCTGAGTGACTTCAGCAGCTGACGTATACATAGAATTTTTCCTTCTATGAACGAGGACAGGAGACATCAAATTACAGTCAGAGAAACTCCATGCACAATTGCAGAGTGCAATGAGAGTGGAATCTTTATTCATGTTAGAAGCGTTGACAAATGTAGAAGTAGAATGGAGATCTTTCAAAGCAGGTTTGAGGATTTATGTATAGAAACAGAATTTCAAGATTCCTTCTTTCGGAAATGTCTCTGGCACCATGTTTAATATCAGGTAGACAGAAAAAAGGTTAGAAACAAAGGCATAACTGGATATTGACTATGAAAGTGCAAAAAAATGCAATAAAGAAGAGACCAAGAGATGTATCTATACGCTCTAAGTAGATGTTTACATGCATTTAGCTGGAAGATGATGGGGAAGTGAGAGTTACTAGGGGCTAAATGTAAAAGATATGTAAAGAGTAGAGCTGTGTGAAGGATGTAAATTATGCTGCACAAAGTGTTTCAGATTTTGAAATTTGGCGTTGTTTTGAATCAGAACAAAATCAACTTTTAAAAATTCTCCAAGGGATGATTTTAAAAATCATTTCAAATCAAGCACCACATATACTTTGGCTTCAATTTTGACTTTTTAAAAAAGGTCATATTATATATTATAAAAAAGAAAATATCAAAATGAAAAATCACTTCACAATGAAAAAAATTGAAATGTTTCATTCTGGAAATGATGCTGAAATATTTCGTTACAACATTGCCCATCTATGATAGGAGGAAGACAGGAGACCCTGAATGTGGTATTATTTAGGCTGCAATTTTATTTTTAAAATACCTGGGAATACTTGGCTGATAAAATTGTACAGTGCAGGTAATTCCATGATCATTTCTTGGGGGCTGCTATCATCTGTTCCCCTTTTCCATTCTGGTCCCAGCCACCCTCCTGCTGGGACTCTGCCACTGAGCCTCTCATATGAGAGGGGGGCTATGAAGGAGGAGGAGTTGACTTCTTGCCCTACCAATTGTAAGAGCCCCAAACCCCCTTTTTCTGCTTATTTAAAGTGTGTCTTCTGTATCTCCTTTACCCACCCATTCCCAATGGAATACTTGCACTGGACATCTGCCACATCATTACACAATGAATTGTGACATTGCAGCCTCTCCCCCCTCCCCGTTTTCTGCCTCAGTAGGTCAGCAACTCACCTAAGGCAATAAACCCATCTCACCTAGGCCAATTTGATGGTGAGGGAAAATTCCTTCCCAGCTCCCGTCTTCTGCCCCCCCAAGAAAAGGGGGTGACTAGTGTAATGCCCAAAGCTGATATTTTAAGTCCTTCTGGGAGCTGCATACCTTGTCCAGGTTAAAGAGGGTTTTTCCAGAATTTCCATGCATATAAACACTCCTTCTTTCTTTTAACCTCCACCTCCACCCCCGCCTTCCGGCTAGCTGGGAAGGGAGGGGGCAGCATTCCCCACCCAGACCTCTTCTGGCTGTACTGTCGGGGGCGGGGGGGAGGGCGATCCTTAAAGAGGCAATGGCCCCCTTTCAACCAGCTTCTGTACAAACCCCATTACTGAAGTTGAAAGGGGCAGTTTACCTCCTACATCCATCTAGAGAAAGGGCCCCACTGCTTAAGGGCACCGCTGCATGGTGAAGACTTTGGGCCCTTTTTTCAGTTTTTGTCTGGAATGAAATGTTTACAAAATTGACACCGTTTTACAAAGCATTTGGTTTTAACAACAGCATTCTCCTATGGAAAATAGTTCCATTTTAATTTTTCTGACCAGCTTCAGTAAACAGATATAGACATTTAATAAAGTAGAAGAGATAAAGAGAACAGTGGTGAACTAGGAAGTATTCATTGATGAATGAATGTGGCTGTGGACACAGTGGGCCAGATACTCAGCTGGCAGAAACAACCATAGCTCCATGGAAGTTAATGGCGCTACACCAATTTACACCACCTTGGGATCTGGCCTAAAGTAATATATTTGGTGTTTAAGGAAGTTTACAGTGCATTATCATCCAAGAAGCTTATATTCAGAATTGACAATGGGTGATATTGGGATGAGCTACTTGAGCAGATAAAGAGCCTACTTGGATATCCAAGGCAGATTGTAATTGTGTAAGGGGAAGTATTTTGGATCATTTTAGATATGTGACCTAAAGAAATAATGGCTAGCAATGTGATGAAATGGTTTAATCACAAAAAGAAACTGTGGGTCTAGTCAGTACAAAGGCAATACATTTCAGAATTAGTTGGCTAGATGAGGAGTATAGATAGATTGCTTCATTTACTCCAGGGTAGAAAAATATCAGATAATAAGTTTAAGCAAAAGGACTATGTTCTGCATCATTTCTAGTCATAATTAGACCACTACCAGCCATGGAAACAGAGGCGGTAGAACAATTTGAATAGTCGGGGTGCTGAGAGCCATTGAACCAAACGGTAAACCCTGTATCTGAGGGAAGCCATTTCAAGCCAGGGGTGCAGTAGCACCCCTAGCACTGCTAGCTCCAGCATCTGTGCATGGAAATTCCACAGTCTGGCATATAATTAAGGTTTCTTGGTGGAGTCTTAGCATTTACAGTGTTTTTTGCAGAATCTGAATGATGTTACATTTCTGTTCCTTCTGGTTGTGAACAAAACCTTCAAAAGTAAACCAATTCATTTAGTTCCCATGAGTTTGCCAGAAGGAAACAAGCTCTTCCAAGAGTGGATGGTTAACGCTAAGCACTTAGCTATATTCAGAAAGATTAGAGTTAACCACATTTGCAGTTCTCCTAAACCTTTTGGAATCATCTAAGTAACAATGTAAAAGGAGTAGGACAGGTGCTAGATTTAAGCTAGAATTATATATAGAATTCTTCTGTCTCTAAAATGCAGTCTGCCCCTGAAATGTCCTGTGTTTCCATGTTCATAAAACTTTTATGTGGGCAAAATAGTCCAAAATGGTTGAGTTCACCCTAGGTTCATTTTTGTCTCTGTATTTCACAAGAAGGGTAAATTCCTTATACTTTTTCCTACTGAGACAACAGTAGCACCACTGTTTAAAATTGTGTGATACGTATATTTGAATTCCTTCATACTAACAGTTCAGCCTATCAGAATAAAATTGTTTGAACCCAACAGCTACCTAGGGGTGTCTATGCTGGTGTTAAAATCTCTATATATTATGTAAGTGAGATGAAAAGATTATTGCTTGATGCCAATAGCTTTTTGAATGTTCAGATTTCATGAACTGCTTGAGATTTACTGCTTCTACCATGCGCAAGGAATCCAGTATCACTTCATTCTACGACTTCCTATTACAAGGTGCTAAACTGCTACTATATGTCTTTTTCACGTAAGAACCACTTTTGTAATTTTAAAAATCATCAGTATTCAAAGACCGTCATTCAAGTAACTTTAGATTCTGCATTGAAGCAAAGTCTGGAGGTCAGAAGGAGATGAATGACAATTGTATTTGATTTGCTGTGGCACTGCTGGTGTAATCTGGTTTTTGTTTTGTCAGTAGCTATTCTTCAATGCATTTCCTTCATTCTTAAAGTTTATGACCATGTATAGCAACTTTAAGAAAACTGAGTGCAAAGAACTTTTAAAACTTGTATATCAGACTGGTAATGTACTAATCAGATTCAATAGTTCTTCAAAAGATTTTAAATGCATTAAACAGAATTCATTTCAAAGCACATCAAATACCAAAGACACCATTGTACCATATATGACAATAGGACTGAAAAGTATTAAGTTCATCTTTATATGGTCTTTTCCAAGGTTTATAGTGGGAATGCTTCACAATCTCAAAATATCTTTTGTTGGAGTTTTACACCAGCATTTTGTACCACTCCCCGCATGCATTTGCCTATTATATTACAGGCCTCTTCAGTGGGGAAAAATAGTAGCTTGTCTCTTTCTGCTCTCAAAAAGACAAGCTACTGTGCTGCTCTTCTAAAGAGACTTGTGATATAGTAGCTATCATACACTCCAACAAAAGGCATTTATTCATCTATTCTTTAAAGTAAAAATGGGTTCACTGAAGACAAAGTGTGCTAGTTACACGTCAAGTCATTAAGTACTACATAAGAAATGAATATGCCTTGAGAGAACCTGTATAAAAGATTTCAGAGTAGCAGCTGTGTTAGTCTGTATCCGCAGAAAGAAAAGGAGTACTTGTGACACCTTACAGAGACTAACAAATTTATTTGAGCATAAGCTTTCGTGAGCTACAGCTCACTTCATCGGATGCATGCATGTAGCTCATGAAAGCTTGTGCTCGAATAAATTTGTTAGTCTCTAAGGTGCCACAAGTACTCCCTTTATTTTTGTATAAAAGATATCATTGTATTATTTCATTTTATTATCCGAGTGCTGTTGTATTATTCAGAGCAGCCTCCAAGCCAAGAGAGGCATGTCCAAGAAAGTTCAAGCTTGCTTGCTCGTAATTAACATTAAGTTTTCACAGGCATGAGATAGGTCACTGCTGTTATAAATGCTATTATATCACTTACAAAGTCAACCAGCTCATTAAATACTGTAGTTAAACTACTGGCCCATGATAAGTCATCTAGTTGATTTCAGCATCTTATTTGACTTGCAAATAAACCAGGAAGATTCAAAATTTGTTATGGAAAATTTTTTATCAATTCCAAACATTTCCATTTTCCACTTTCCTGCATAATTTCAGATCTGCTTTGTATTCATACACTAAAAATGGGATGAACAGAGGGATATTCTGTTTTTCTTAAAAAGAGGAAAGGAGACCTTATATGTTGAAGAAGCTGCTTAATGTACTTGTTGCCGAAGAATGTAGTTCAAAACAAGTCTGAATGTTCAGAAGGGAAATTGCAGGTAGACTATGTATGTAGCTGTGAGATTCCTGGTTACTTTCTTATAACATATTTCTTAATCTCAACTCTGCCTTTGTGAATGGTAAAACTCAATGAGCAGGATATTAATGGATCCTTTATTTGTATCCCAGAATCTCAGGTTCCTGATCAGCCAAGCTCTCTTCATGTCAGGCCATTGACAACCAGTATCGTCATGAGTTGGACTCCACCGCTGAATCCAAACATTGTTGTACGCGGATACATCATTGGCTATGGAGTGGGCAGCCCATATGCTGAGACAGTGCGAGTAGACAGCAAACAGCGCTACTATTCCATTGAAAACTTGGGTAGGTAGTTCTTTGTTTTTTAGTGATTTTAAAAGAAAGAAGTTTCTTCTGGAGTTTACTAATTTTTGAGACTTTTCCTAGGCTATCACTAAGTCCTTGTGTACAAACCAAATTTGTAGCGACTTAATGGCTGAGTTTGCCATAGTATGGTTTGTGCCAACACAAACAATGGTTAATATTCAGCTACTAACAGCATTGGCTACTGAGGTTTGACTCCTGCAGTTGACCAAAACTGGTACTTGGTTATCTTCCTGTAACCAGGTGATAACTATAATTCTGTAGCATGAATGTCAATGAAGGTGTTATAACCAGGTTACCAGAATAAAATTGTACTTACAGTCTAGATGGAACCTTAGTTACATTACATTTATAACTTTGGAAACAATAATCAATAAAATATCTTATATACAGTGTTTGATTCTAATGAGCACATACACTCTCTTAATGTGTTTGAAATTATTGCTAAATCATGTTCTGCTTGGCTTTTACAAAACAATGAGATACATCAATGATCGAGTTGGGAAAAGAGGAAATAAAAATCGTTTGTCTCCATGGAATTTAGAACAAATAATTCATCTACTAAACTGAGATCATGCATTTATTTGTTCGTCACCGATTGGTTGAAATTATTCTCTGTCCTTGACCATATGCTGAAAACTATAATAATAGCCAGATCAGGGAGGATCAAGTTTTCTTAATCAAGTGGTCATGTCATGTAGTAGACCTTTAACTGATGATCCAATGGAAAGCTCATTGAGCTGAAGATAGACTCCAAAATATAATCAGCATTTTATATTTTTGGACTGCAACTTTGGTAGCATATCAGCTTGGCTCCTACACTTCAGAGCAAATCTAAATACTAAATAAGCACTTCACCATGTGGCCCCCTAGTTTGAAGAGAGCAGGAGCTGGAAATGCTATTCCCTGAGCTGGCCCAAGTGTTTGAATTTAATGGCACTCACAAAACTCATATTTTGTATCTGTCAAAAAGATTTAAGGAGATATTCTGTTATCCCATTATTCATTGCACACTCTGATGGTTCATCTTGATGCTGGGCCTGGTATGCAGGGAACTGGTACTTTGATGATGAAATACTGGTATTCAAGCATTGGGGAAAGGGTTCACAGTTTGAATGAAGTCATGAGAAATAATCAGTTTTCTTTGTTTTACTTCTATAGCATTTTTTCTTTCAAGGATATTATTTTTCTTTGTTATTATTGTTATTTAACATTTGTATGTGATGCTCTAGGCTTGCTCAAATGCTTTACAAATATTAAGTCTCATAATGCACCTGTATGTTAAGGCTGGGCACAAAAGTTAAATGATTCGCTAGAATTTATACAGATAGTTGTTGTAACAGCTGGGAATGGAACATAGAACTTCTTGTCTTCCAGTCGTCTTCTGTGATCACTAGATACACCTTTTTGGTAATAGCATCCAGTAGCACAAGAAACCAGATATGATTAATTTCTGTGGTCACCCTGTTCTCAAGAGAAATCTCATACAGATAAAATCTTTCTGTATACATAGGAGGACTTTTGTTTTGTTTTTGGTGGGGTGGGGTTTTTTTTGGGGGGGGTGTCACAATAAAAGGCACTGTGAAGAAATTGCTCACTGTGACTTCACCAAGCGGCTTCTCTGTGGCTATTAGGGCATTTGTATTTTTAAGTAAATTGGCTTGGCAAAGTCATTTGAAAAATTAGAAAAAAAAACAAAACAAAAACAACCATAATGCAAAAAACTAACATATAGAAACGTATATCAAAAATCTCTCAGGAGTGTTTTAAATCCCTTAAATATTGGTAGTCCGTGACTGATGATAATGACAATATTGTCACAATTATCATCTACGGTTAATTCTTAAGTAATTAAATATGCAGAGCTAGATGTTACTGTAGTTTTCCCATTCTCAGCACCAATATGATAAAAGAGCTGTTTTTTTCTGGACAACCCAGTAACTCATATGAACAGCACTGAATCCATTTAATATATTCCATGTCCCTTAAATGTATAATATTCAGAATTTCTCGAAATTGTGCCCATGAAGGTACTTGCAGGGAGCTACATGTAAGCTTTGCCGCCAAAGTCCAAAGACTCAAAGTGTTATGTAGATAAAGGCTGACTTGAAAGTGTTTTGATGGAGATTAAAGTTATTATGCAAAATGGAAAGAGGTCTGAATGGGCCATCAAAGAAGGTTAGTGGAACATAAGGATAAAAGTGATTACTAATGACTGTATAGGTCTAACAGTTAATGATTAAACACATTTTTCTAGATTCCAAAATGGATTTATATTCTTCCAAATTTAATCATCCTACTTTAAATCGTTTCATAACTTTACTGAGATTGAATTGAAGTGTCTCACCTCCACTGACCTGAAGGTATTAGAAACAGAAATTATATTAACAGAGTTATATAGGTCAGTATGTTCTCTGGACTTTGGCAAGGCCCCAGGAGAAGATGGTTATACAACCAAATTCTTGAAAGTTTTTAATGAGCACCTTTCATTATAGATATTCTAACTAGCAACTGAAGAGATGCCTCATAACATGGCATCATGCGGCTTCAATTGTTCTAATTTATTGTAGTTCCAGAAATTACTCTAAAACTTCTACCAAAATGTGAGGAAACTATTTAGAGCTGAGCAAATATTTAGTTACAAATAACTTATTCGCTGAATGTAGCTTCCTTTTTTTTTCTTTTTCTTTTTAACTTTCTGAACATTCTTTAGCTGTTCAAGATTTCATCAGTATTCAAATGTATTGGACAAATGCTTTTTTGGATGTTTATACTCTGGTTTGATCACAAATATTCAAAATGTAAACAGTGTTATTTAGTTGTGATTTTCCAGATATATGCATTTGTTCCCTAATTGGTTGAGGGACTTAACTTTGTGAATTTTGGCATGTGTACTTTTTATACTTAATGTCTGTGAATACTCTTGTGTACAACTTTGAAAATAACTTTTGGTGAGCAACTGTGCTAATTAAATTCAGTTGCTCAAATGTTCACAAAAAATTAACCCTGAAGTGATGTAACCAAGAGCCCAAAGAATGCTTTTAAAAATTAGAACAAACATCTTCCAAAATTTCTTACGTTATTCACCTAACTCTATTAGAGACCATTACAAGAAAATTACTACAAAATGATTAGACAGAATTCTTTTCCTAATGGAAATATTGGTTTCAAGAAGATATGGATCAAAATACACTAACAGACAGAAAGGAAAAAAGATAGGCATTAGATGGACTTATCCCAACTGTTGTAAAATGTCCCACAAACCATGCATATTAAGTGGTATTGTTAATACATAATATGATAATTAAAATCTGATACCTAAAATAAATGGTGAAACTTCAGACTTCCCTCTGTGCTCCAAAGAACAAATTCCTACTAACCCATTCAACAACCGTGGCATTCACAGACCATCTCCCCTATACTCCACTGTCTTTCATCCCTCCCTCTCCCAACTCCACTTCTCCTGGGTCCCAAATAATGTCTCCAACTCCTCATTCTGCAAACACCACACCTGTTGCAATCCTACTCTCCCGGTGCATCACCTTCACCCACTCACTGCCCAGCTCTGACTACTCCTCTCCGCCTTCATCTCCTGCCCAGTTCTACAAACCCTCATGCTGTCCTCCAGACATTCTCAAGAGTCTGACTCCTGGTGAATTAGTAATACTGACATAGGGTGATAGCGATCAGAACATTAGACATAATTTTTCAGTGTGATATAATAGTTGCAATTACAGCAATTTATTTTCAACTCCATCTATATAGATGTACATCACAGGAGAGGGACCTTGATAGTCACTTTCTGTGGCCATGTTTCTGCCTGATGCTAAGAAGTCAAAGGTATTTACCTCATCTCAGGAAGGGGTCCTATTCAGCTCTGGACCTGGAATACCACATTCAGTTCTGGGTACCTTGTTACCAAAGAGATACTGACAAATTAGAAAAAGACAACAAAAATGGTCATGTAGCCCAGATGTGTTGAAGAGTGAAGGAGATAAATATGTATTTTAGCAAAGCAGTAAATAAGTGGGCAACATGATACCAGTAACAGTCTACAGGTATCTTAAATGTTGAAACCTCATGGAGGAAAAGGAATTATTTTGCATAATGAAAGGAAGTTACCCCATAACTGGGGATAATAGAATACAATTCAGAAAGGGGAAAATAGGTAAATATCAGGAAAAAGCTTCCTGAATATGAGCATTATTAGAGATGTCTCCTAGTGGAAGGGTTGGAAAGCCCTATCTCTTGGCACATTTCAAACTATCCTATACTGTCTTGTGTGCAACAGAGAATGATCCTGCACTGGAGGATTCTGCATGGAGATGGTGACCTAATAATCATTTTCTGAAAGTCCAGGACCTAGTAAAGAATCAAAATGGCTGTCTGTTCAGAACCCATATTTACATATTCAAATCAGACTGTGAATCTTCATGACCAAGTGTATATTTGTAGGTACATATATGAATTTAAGTTTAGGGCCGTTTTTCATAATTTGGCCCAAGGTCCCAAATAATGAATATCAGCACTTAAATTCAACTTTTAAAGGCGTAATTTATTAACATATTTCTTCTCTCACCCTTTTTTTAATTATTTAAGCCAGATCCTATTATTTATTTTGGCCCTTTTGTACCATTCTGCTGATGCAAATGAGCTCGAAGGCCAGGTATCTTCCTAACAGAGGATTTCTCCTGGTGGGTGTGCCCCCAGCTAGTATAGGCCATTACCAGCCACTGTGGATTAGAGCAGCCCAAAAGATGCTCTAATCTATGATGGGACCACTGTAAATCCAGCCCCAGAATAGGGGCTCTTCAACCATCTCCTTTCAGGCCCTCCATTTCAGCTATACCCAGTGGACAACCGGTGTAACTGAGAATCTAGGCCTTTGTTTCAGGGCTCAAACTTAATACTTATCTGACCTCCCTATGACTGAAATGCACTGTAGTGTGTGTTTGGTTTGTTTATGCTCTGGGTGTTGTTTT